TCTTTAGTCTTAAAACCAATTAGGCTCACTAGCAATGTAGATTTGATAAAAAGTTAATAACCATTAATTGTAGTGAGGGAAGTTTTTACAACCTAGCGCAGAAGTTTATTGCAAACTCAATCTGTTCCTCTAGTGGTTTTGATTTGTACCAATTACGACTAGAGAGAACTTTTTCATCTGGTCCCTTTTTATTTTTTTCATTGTTCCTGTTCCCGCTTTGGCTTTTAACGTCAATTTTCAGTTATTTGGCAAAGTGATCTTCCATAGGGAAACTGAAAAATTTTAAATCCCCTGATGAGTGGGCGACCGCGAAACAGGCTTGTAGGGATGAACTTGTAGTTTACTTGTCTTTTTCCTCCCACAACATATATATATATATATATAAATCCTTTTGGATCCTTCTGGCGCGGCATCACTGTTGGCTCGAGGCCTTTTAACGTATTCTATATATATATATATATTGTTTTTTATTTTTTTTTCATCGCGTTAAAGTCATCTTGTTAGGAGACTTGAAACTCTTAAAACATGCAATAGTGAAATATTTATACTTCCTTAGATGTCGTACTTCTTTAAATGTCATTAATTTTCATTTTTACTGCATTAAATTAGACTATAAATAGTTCGTGGATATTGCAAACTTGTAAACATCACGCGTGTTATATAAACTAAGGGCCATAACAAAAGATAAACCTGAACTATATAGAGGCAGAAGTCCAGATGTTGTGCAGCTAACCTATCCCACGCAAGCCAATTAAAAATTGATTCAGATCATACAAGATCTATGTGCCCACCTCCTAAGCTGGGCTCGCCAGATATGAATCAAATAGCTAGCCAACAGTGAATAATTATTATATTTTTGATGTTTACGTTTGACTTAATTAGAGTCTTTCAAGGACCATCAATTCCCCAAATAGGATACAATCTCTACTCGCTTTGGGGTTGAATGACAACTAGAATAAGCATTTTATTAATAGTTCTCCCATTGAAATTTGGTTCAGAAATTTCCTTGTCAAAGTAAAAGCTCTTGTGGAGAATGATGACCATGATTATTGAAGATGCAGCAATATCACCAAAGGTCAATCTTTAATCAGATGTGAAAACATTTACTTTATTCTGGTTTGCCAATAATCTAGTGTCTGACGATAGCTATCAGCACTTATATAATTGAAAGCAAAGCAATTATTATTCCAGCGTACCTAGTCTAGGTAAGGGGGTCGATACTCTACAAAACTATAGTCTGAACGGAGTGATATTGAAATCCTAAAGGTGCACACGTTTGACGCAAAGTTCAGTAAGCGCTACAGGATTAATCATCCAACACCACATGTTCGATGAGATTGATTTCTATCGATGTTTTCTCTGCCTATAACCGTCTAAAAGACTAAAAGGTCTCGTTGCTGTTGAAAGCCGTTTTTTGTAACTCGTGTGGCATGACCTATTTTAGTATTACTGTATGCATTTACTAGAAGTGACCAAGATCTTTTCCTTTTTTTCATCTAAAAATAGTTAGAGCGTTTACATTTACAGCTCAGAGTTCTTTTTTTAGAAAGCGGAGGGCTTGTTTCCTGCTACTAATTTTTTCCGCGTTTATGCTATTTCTATTGTATTACATTTGAGTCCATACATGAAAATAACGAGTGATCTGCCCCCTGAAAGACGAATACCGTCGATAAGGCAAAAAGGTTATGGGCCCACAAAACAGCCTGAGATTATGATAATCATAGGGGAAAACACATTCGTGCGTATGATAACTTCTCACAGTTTTATTTGAGGTTAGATTTGCATGCGAATGCTTGGTTGACCTTTTAGCCACAAAATGAAAAAAACCTTTACAAAAGCGAAAGTGTGGTCTAATTTTACTATCATTTGTTCTCTATTTCCTAATTTAATTCACTTTATTTGTTTTTAGTTTATCAATCTTTCTTCGGTTTAGTTTGTGCTTATCAAGTTTTAAGAGTGCTTAGCAGAAGGATTGACTCTCAATACATGCGTCATTAAATCTGTTCATTAATGATGAGCTGACTGCTGAAAATTTGGTTAATGCTGTATGTTCCACTTCTAAGACAACAATCGTTTGTTTCAATCACTCAGAAGTGAGAACTTCTCGAGGAGTCGCCATAACAATGCCAGCCGAGCATTAGGAAACTGACTTTACAATGTGAAAGAGAAATTATTAGGACTGTGACTTAGGGGAGAATTTAGGTCAGCCGACGAGTGCGTCAAAACGAATGCGTTCCGGTGATTGATTTACGTCAAAAGCTTAAAATAATTTTGGATTTAAATACCG